GCCAGGTGAAGACTATGAGAAAAATATGCACCTGGTTCTGTTAGATGATTGAAGGCTGAGTGTTGTAGAAAAGGCAGTTCATGGTTTTTTAGCATCGTTAATTTACATTTGCTCATGTATAAAATGAGAATAAAACCTTAATCATAGGGTGTTGTATGGCTCAAAATATATAAAAAGGGATTAAGAAAAAGAATTTTAGATTTAAAACAGCTGAGGACGTTAAAAGCATTATACAAAAGTAGAGTCATAGTTATTAGCATGGGAGATTTAAGGTGCAGGAAATTCTAATCCATGTTACTGTTTTGGTGAATACATGTAATTTCAGCCAGTGATGCTTTGAGGCAACTGATTTTGTCAGTAGCTATGATCTGAATAAAAGCTAATACTAATGTTAATTGAGCAATGACAGTAAACCAAGTTATATATGACTGGTATATCTACTTTCCCATTTAACTGTTAAGTGTTCAAATGTTTTACATGTAATAATGTGTTAATTCGTTCAGTCTTTGTAGCCAGAATCTGGAGCCTTGAGTTCAGGCAGTAGAATGAGATACATCAGGTGTTTTAGACACCTGCCATGGCCTCCAGGGGGCGCTCATGCCACAGCAGATGCGGAATGCGTGACCAGGCTGCACCCCTGCCCGCTTGCAGCAGCCACTCAGATGTCATGGGCCCGGGAAGTTGACCAGTGTCTGCAGCTGGAACAGAGGGGTGAGCCCATCATATTCTTACTGAGGACATACCACCGACAGTGGTGAAAGCTTATTTAAAGATGATTTTTATTTATTGCATATCATGAAATTTAAGAGCATGGTCATAGTTCATTATTTTCAGGGGAAATAGTTTGTCAGAATGTTTTGAAGACTATCCAACATCGCTGAATGAACAATTCAGGGACTGTTTTGTGTAAATGCAGAAAGATGTGTGTGTGTGCAGGGGAATTGTGCAGGCAAGTTGCAGTGGCCCCGGGAAAGGAATGCCTCAATAGCCCAACACTGGTCAACTGGAAAAGCATCTTGGGAAGGGGGGAGGCAGGACGAGAAGCACTTCCAGGCATTTGCTTTCTGCCAGCCTGAAGCTCAAGTCAGCTTCTCAAGCTGAAGCCAAGCAGAGATGGCTGTACCACTCTTGGATTTAGTAAATCAGGTCATTTTGAGGAAGGCAGTAGCTCCCTGGGGGACTGGAGACCAAGAGAGCAGGAGTGAGCGCAGGAAGCGTGGCCTTTACAAGTATGGAAGTCTTGCATGTATGCTAAGGACTTGTCATTAGTACCCAAATTTAGGGGGACACTTCCTAGTGTCAAAAGCCTATGTCAGCAAATCAGCCTTAAACAGTAGCTATTGTGTTTTCATGCCAGAAATGCTGACCGCAGGAAAGGTGGATTTCTGCGGTGCTTTTGAATTATGTGAACAGTTTAAAATTAGGTTTACCGTGACTGTTCAGTCACATTCACCACTCTGATGGTCTTTCCTCATCTGGGGACTCGCTAACCAGGGCAGAGACTGTGATGACAGCTGGTGGCTTTGCTCTCACCATGCCCTCTGGGGAGGTTTCTCCCTCAGTTTTTCTTAAGGTCAGCACCACCAGGCAAATGTCCTTCACCTTGTATTTCCTTTCCTTCATTAACGGCTTGTAGCTCCCGACTGTGCTGCCGACTCCCTGGGCAACACTAGACCACCTTCCAGAGAGCAGGCCTCTGACCTTGCCCTCTCTCCTCACTGCCTCTCTGAGTGTCTCACTGAAGGCAGGCCGTGATTCATGGAACACGGAGAACGTTTTGCAGCTTTTCCACAGTAGCAAGACTTTATGGGGTAACTGGTCTGCACAGAGGGAACCCAACTAATGTCTGAAAAAGTATTTTTCACTTGCTATTTAACAATCGAAACTTAATATTTAATTTTTAAATTGTGATCAAATGCATATAATGTAAAATGTGCTGTCTTAACCCTTTTAAAGTGTACATTTCTGCAATGTTAAGTACATTTGCATTGTTGGGCAGCGGACCTCCAGAACTGTTCATCTTCCCAAACCACAACTGTACCCATTAAACAATGACTCTTCCTTCCCTCTGCGCCTGCCCCCTGCCCCTGGCAGCCACCACTCCACCTTCTGTCCTACGCATCTGGCTGCTCTAGGGATCTCATGTAAGTGGAATCATGCAGTTGGTGTCTGTGTTGGGATGAAGGTTCACACACGATGTAGCCTATGTCAGAATTTCCTTTCTTTCCTGAGTGATGGTCCAGTGTACGCATGTTTTGTTTACCCTTTCACCCATCAGGAGACTGTTGGGCGGCTCCCACTGTGGTTATTACGAAGAATGCTGTTGTGAACACAGGCCCGTAGACCCCTGCTCCCGCTGTTGTGGGTGTGCATCCAGCAGTGGGACTCCTGGATCATGTGGGAGTTCTATTGTTAATTTTTTGAGAAACTGCCATGCTGTTTTCCATTCCAAAAATTTTTAAAGACATTTATTCCACAGTCAGCATGACAACAGTGACAGCTTGATCGACACCAGCTCTTCTGAAATTAGGCCATTCCTGCTTGTACTGGACAGGGCTGTAAAGGGTTTGTTCTACTTCGTTCAGAGTCTAAACCAAGGCAATGCTAAATTGCATTCATTTGGCTTTGAACATGGTAGTGTTTCTGATTTTTTTCAGTGGATATAGACAGCTCTCACTAAGGGTTGCTTTCTAAAGCAAAGAGCAGCACAGAGGCTACTGGGATTTTACCTGGTACGCTCATGGGAACTATCTTGTGAATCCGAAGGACTCGAGCTTGAACCCTGGCTCAGTGACATGCCAACTGCATGGTTGTGAGCAAGTAACTGAACTTCTCTGAGCATCAGTAATAATATGTACCTTGCAGGGTGGTACAGCCTTGACCTCACAGCATGGTCATGATCACTGTCCCTGGTATCCCAGAAAGAGAAAAGTAGTGATTTCTTTTGGAAGGGGAGAAGGGTGGACTTCACAGTTTGTAATGAGACTGTGTATATAGTCATTAACACAAATTAATGTTGTATCTACCTTATTTCATTTGTCAGAATAAGCAGTAAAGTGCAGGTGATTTTTTTTCCTCAAAGTTTGTGAAAAGTCTTAAGGCTAGAAATTCAAGAGACAGGACAGTCCTCTGCCCCCAGCTCATACACTCCTCAGTCTGGATTCACAGGAAGAAGAGGAACAGGCACTCAGTGTGCTCTCTGTGGTCCTCTGAGACACAGTGTCCAGCCCGGGGGTCCCCAATACCAGGGCTGCTGAGGCTTGGGGCAGGATCAGCCACACAGAAACCAGTCCATGAAGTCCTGCACTGAGGAGATTCGATCCTTGTCTCATTTTTATTCCTTAATGTCTTGCATTGGCCAGGGTCTACTCCCAGGAGTTGTGAAAAGCAAGCCTTGGACAGGACTGGAATGAGAGGAAGCTGCACAGGGCACGTCCCTTCTGTCAGCCAACTGCATTTATAGAGACTCAACAGGGATATCTATTTTCTTATTCCCTGAATTAAAATGATGTGCAAAGAGATCACCAAATCAAATAACTTCAGTTTGGTTCAAGGTTCTGAGAAAACATACACACGGCAGTGTTTCCGCAAAAGAAAATTGTTTGATCTGCTTTGGGTTCTTCGTTGAGTTGGTGTTTTAGGTGTTTCTCATCAAGTCCAGGGGGGGTGTTTTCACGTCCTGTGCGTGACATTGCTCAGCCTCTACTGGGTCGTTGTGGGGAGGATGCTTGTGACTGGGCGGCATGAGCAGCGGTGTTCAGCGCACCTGAGAGCTGGGAGCTAGCCCAGGGAACCCTGCGGTGGCCTGAAATTCTGTTTCTGCCTCATTAACAAATGAATGGTGGTTCTAGGTCAGAGCTGGGAATACTAGAAACAATAGGAAAATAATCTCGTTTAAGACAAAACTGAATAGAAATAGATTATTTTAATTTCATATTGGCATTTTCAAAATGCCATGTGCCATTTTAACATCACAAGTATGAGAAGATTTCTTCTTATTTTTTAGGCAAAACCAAGGGGAGCATAGAGTCTGTGCAGTTTTCTCTCCTGGGTTCATTTCTCTTTTTCACCCCTTGCTAAAATAGCATGGGTTCGGCCGTCTCAACACCTGTCCCATGTGTTCCGTCTGCTCTTCCCACAGGCCACACCCACAGGCGCCTCACTTCTTTGCAGGGACCTGCTGCAAGTCTCCACCTCCACTTTTTCCTTCCTGCTTCCCCATGCTCATCCAACTATCATACACAGTCTTAGCATGCTGCTCTCCACGGCATTCAGGATAAATTTGAACTGCGGACAGACCTTAAAAGAGCACTCCCAGTCCAGCCTGGGCAGGAACTTGCCCTCATCGTACCCTGGCCTGTCCTTGAAGCCCAACACCCGCCTGCACCAAACAACCCCCTCTTGCCCCTCGTCCATACACATGACTTTTTCTCCCTGGGATTTCTGCTCCAACCCCCTGCCCACCTCACCGCCCTCCGAGGAGCTTCTACACTCAGCTGGTGGCACGCCATGTGAAGTCTCCTGACCCTCTTGCCACCAGGAGAAACCAGAGCCCTATGCTGGGTCTCCTTTCCTGAATTTCCCTCCACCTAGGGCTTCCCTCTCCTGCTGGTCATCACAGTGGCTGCCGTGGCTGGTTTTGCCGATCTTCCTCGTGATCCAAAAACTTCTGCAGGTCCAAAGGACCATTGAGTAAGAAGCATTGATGACTTTCATGTTTTCTGTTTCTTCCTTAGAGATGATACCTGACGGAAGTCCCCCTCACACACACCACCCAACCCGGAGTAAGCGGTTGGTCCAAATGCAGTGGGAAAAAAGCATCCTAACTGTACTCATTTCAGCATTAGGTGAAGATCACAGTCCAGGAATGCCCAGAGGCCTCAGCCCCTCTGTACTCCCTGTTTGTGTTGCAAGTTTGCACCATGCCCCGCTACAGTGCTCAGGCAGGGCAGCTCTGAGCCCTTCTGCCCTCTGACAGTCTCATGTGTCTGGATCTGCAGGACTTGTCCTATAAGGACCGACACTGGCATGAGGCCTGTTTCCACTGCTCACGGTGCAAGAGCTCGCTGGTGGACAAGCCCTTTGCTGCCAAGGAGGACCAGCTGCTCTGCACGGATTGCTACTCCCACGAGTACTCGTCCAAGTGCCAGGAGTGCAAGAAGACCATCATGCCAGGTCAGGAACACTCCCTTCTCCCTGGGATACTGCAAAGCACGCTTCCTTTTCCTTCCCCTCCAGCACTGAATCTGGACTCGTGTGATTATTTAAGCAAATGCTTTGTGTCCTCCTGGTGCCGGGCCCAGGGCCAGCAGCTAGGTGTTCATGGAGTGGTGGCCGGAGAGGCGTTCCCAGTCCTCTACTGTGTGGAGTTTACATTCTAGTCTGATGTACACTCCCTGCTAGGTCAACCCAGACTTGGCAGCTGGGTCGGGTGCCAAGGACAGTAATAAAGTGACTTGTCTGTTAAAGGAGGAGGATGGGATTGTGTCTCTTCTTATATAGGAGGGAAGTAGTTTGTTTTGTTTTGTTTCTTGCAGGAGAGAGAAATGTCTCATTTTTAAAAATAGAATGAACAAATATACATGAAATTTTTAAAATAAATTCTGGTTAGGGACACAGAAATGAGGGTGAGGAGAGTAACCCCTGTGAGAGGGGCAGGAGATTTGGACCCTGGACAACTGAGAGAAAGGTGCAGATGTTGCTGAGGCTGGCTCATTGGCCATATATAATCAGTGGTGTGCTCTGCACAGCCAGCCAAGTGTGGCTGGGAGGTAGACTTGCCAGATTTAGCAAATAAGAACATAGCTAATTTTTTAGTATCTGTCCCATTTGGGACCTGTAATCTGGCGTCCCTCCCAGAGAGCTACGAAGAGCCAGGAGAGAACTCTGTCCCTTGCATATCTTCATGACGTGTGACCTCCGGAGAGCAGAAGAGGGTGGAACAGTAACTAGACACCTGGAGCACAGTCAGTGGGCGGCAGACTGGTTGGGGTACAGATGGCCTGCGGGAGGGAACACAGAGCTTGGGGAATGCGTCCTGTACTGGGGCCCAACAGCCCTGAGGGTCCCCCCGCCCAACCCCATCAGGAGGGCACCGAGGGAGCTGCTGTTGAATCCGGCTCAAAACACCAAGCCTCAGAGTGCTTGGGAAGGTGTCTATCCTCAAGACTGGTTCTTTAGTGGGTGAGCATCCTTTAGCTCTGGGAAGGTTTAGAATTACGGGCAGACATGTTAAGAGAGTCTAACCCATACTAATAATGCTGTGCGGAATAATCTGGTGAAGGAAGTGTGGAGTTTAAAAAAGTTGGTCTAAAGAGTAAATTAAGCTTGTAATTCTTATTTGTTTATTGATTTATTATTTTTTAGAGAGAGAGAGAGGGATCCATCTTCTCTGTTCTACTTACTGATGCCTCATCGGTGCGTGTTCCAACCCGGACGCTCAGCCGTGGGTCTGCGCAGCCTTGGCACGCCAGGGCCGCTCTCCCGCCAGCTGAGCTGCCGGCCAGTGCTAGGCTTGTGATTGTCAACGGAAAGTTTCTTGATTGATAAACTGTTTTGACATTTAAGATATCTTATGCTTCCCCATATTTGTAAGTTTAATTCATTTCATTAATAATTACTTAAGAACTCGAAGTTCAGTTGGTTAGTTGAGGTACTTTAAAGGGATATCAAATATATTAAATTTTCAAAAGTAGTTTTAAAGGAGTTTAGTTCACTGCATTAATAAACAGAACCAAACATAAAGGCCCTTTAAAAGTGATTTTTAAAATTCACTATACTCATGAATTCAATAATAGATGTGTCATGTGAACTGAAGGTGAGGGTTTTGAGTATGTTACATCAGTAGATTGAATGCTAATTTTTAAAAACCAAGGCGGTCTGCTGAGTAATCATATTTCATACAGTAGCTGTAGTCATACTATGTGAAGAGAATGAAAGCTACAGAGATAATTTAGAGTTAGACTCTCAACTCTTCAGTAGAAGACTGATTGCCACGCTCTTGAGTTCTTGTTGTATTTTTTGTTTGCTTTGTTTTTGGCAATGAAGATACTGAAGAGTTCTGAGCAAGAAACTGAAATGCGGGAAGTGTTATTTTAAGAAGATATACTGGATAAGAAATCATAAATTTTTTTAAAAGGCAAGGGCACAATCAGGCCTTCAGTCAGATGGTTTCTATTGCTACTTCATTTCTCTGGTCAATACATCTTAAAAATAACTGTGACATTCTATCACGAGGAACAAAAACCCAGAGCAAGATCCTTACAGCCCTGCTGGAGCCACTGTGGCAGCTTCCAGTAGTGTAAAGAATGGGCAGGAAGACTTTTACAAAATTATGTTAACACTGTACATGTTTGAACCAAGGGGCCCAGATGCGGTAATGGTAGAAATTTGAACTAAAGCCCATATAAAAGCAGGGTGACCTGCCATCTTGTCCACAGAGAGTCACGTACAGAGACACAATAGTCCTGACACAGTAAGAACCAAAGATTTAATTAAAAAACAACTTAGATCATGACTAGGTTTTCATGATCAGAGCCCAGGGAAGGTTCCACGAGTGACTCAGAGTGGATGCCTTTAAATCCTTTCCCATCTCCATCACCGTTCCCACATGCACCCGCTCCTCAGGGTCCTCTCCTCGCTGGCTGGTCCTGCCTTCTTCATCCCTTCTGTTCACCTTCTGGATTTGTTTGTGTGCGTGTTTGTCTGTCCTTCCTTAGCGGTGCTCTGCCCTTTTGCAAGTAAACCCTGCGACCTCTCTGCTTCTCCAGTTCCCCCCCTTCATACCCTACCTGGGGGCCAGGTCAGGATAGGAGTCTTTCAGGGGGGCGGGGAGGGAAGACCCAAAGGATGAAGTGTCAGGCTGTGGCTCACCTGGAGCTCCTGGGGCTCATGGGAACCGTACAGGCCGATCTGGCACCTGCAGAGGTGGCCATGGAGCCACCTCCGGGAACAGCTGGTGTCTTCAAGAAGGGAGTTTGTGGTTCATTTGGCAATAGGGCATTGTGCGGGTGTTCACGAATGTCCCAGCTCAGGCACTTTGAATGAGAACTTTGTTAAATCACACAGCATGAAATTGTGAAAGCACTGACAACTTTAAGCTTACATGACCTTCAAATTCATTCACCTGTCTCAGCTCACCAGCAAAAAACCCAGAAAGTTCAATGGACGCCCCAGGCTACAGTTAGTGGCTGAGCCAGGATTGGGGTCCCATTGCCCAGCGTTGCCCCTGCTGCTCTGTGGTCTGAGCAGCCTTCTAGACCCGGTCAGGAGAAAGGTGGACCGGGAATGATGGGTGTGGGTATCACTAACTCCTTCCACTGTGGCAGCAGTGGTGAATTCTGAAGGTGGGAAAACAGAGGACACGCAAGACAAACCTTTGTGGTGCTGGGTAGGCACAGCCTCACTAGCAGGAGTGCAGCACAGCGGTGTTGGTGAATCTCCAGTGAGACAGCCAGGCGTCCGTGCACACACACTGGACGCAGGGTCAGGAGGCCTGTGTTCTCGCTGTGCTTGCTCCTCAGCAGCTGTGTGACTTCAGCCTCTCACAGTTCTTTAGACCTTGGCCTCCTCCCCACCCCATCCCTCAACTCCCCACCTTCAGCCTGACTTTAAAGTAACAGGCTGAGTTACTTTAAATCCAAAGCAGTCTGGCAGATGTGACTTTATGAAGTTTTTCCTTCTGTACCGCCTTCAAGAGTACATTTCCTTTAGTGACTTGGCCTGTTCCTCCAGCAACTCCTCCGACACCTCTCGCACTTGCTCCTGACTGCGCTGAGGGAGTGGTACACGGGCCACAGGAGATCTGAGCCAGTCTGATTTTCTTGTTCCCACCGTAGGGTCCGTCCCGGCCTCTCTCACACCTGTACTCCCAGTCCTCAGGGAAAGGTTAGAAAGTGGCAGCGCTTGGTTTCTAGTCTCCTGTTTTATGGTTCCAATTCTCAGTCAGTCACTGCCCCTCACTGAGATTCCATTTCCCTTTCTGATGAGGTGGGAGGAAAAGACCCAAATCTCAGAAGTATGTCTACAGTGATTCTTAGAAATTAGTTCACAGTCTCAGTCCACAGGCCATTCAAGGCTTTAACCCTTAGCACCAGTCATGACAGGAAAAGTAAACATTTCCTGGGTATTTGAATTTCTTTCTAGAGAAACAGAGAGAGAGAGATTTGTAGTGAGAAATTGGCTCACGCAGTTCGGGGGCCGGCATGTCTGAAGCCCACAGGGCAGGGGGACAGACTGGAGACACAAGTCACAGCTGATGTTTCAGCCTTGAGTCTGAATGTCTTGGAGCAGCAGGCTCTGCACTCAGGCAGGGCCTTTTACTTCAGTCTTGAGAAAAATTTCTTCTACTTGGGAAAACCTCAGGCTTTGCTCATAAGGCCCTTGACTGATTAGATGAGGTCCATCCACATTTGGCAAATCATTCACTTTATTCAAAGTTCACTGATTTAAGAGTTAGTCATGTCTTTAAAGCACCTTCACAGCAACATTAGACTGGTACACAATCATGCAGCTGGGCATCACGGCCCAGACAAGTTGACATGTAAAATTAACCGTCACACCTCCCATTTCTCATGGTGTTTACCAAGGAGAAAAACATTCATGTTAAGATAGCAAATAAAAATCAAACGTTATTTGGTCCAAGTCTCTCCTATTGAGGAATAGGGAAGCTGGGGCACAGCCTTCTAGGCTGTGGGCTCCATGGCAGGAAATGATGTGTGATAATCACAACAGGACCGCAGCCGCTGCTCACAGGACCCTGTTTGTCCTGCACAGTGTCTCTGCAGCTAGATGGCTCCACCTCGTATTATATGACATGACTGAAGCTGAGCAACCAAGGACATCATGAGTCCAGGGGGGACCAATGCTCCCTGAGGCAGGGACAGCAGTGGGGGAGGGGGCATACTTCACTGAAGGGTGAGGCGAAGGTGTGCAGTTGTTGGTTTTCTCTACAATGAGGACGTCTCACTCACTATTGTCTGTGGGTTTAGAAAACAAGGTGGCTGAGCATTTGCTTCAGCTCCATAGCCTGGAGATGTTTGCTTTGTATTGAATTTAGATAGGTAGGACAAGGTGTGTTCTAAATAAAAAAGTCACTCTCTGGGCTCACACCTTAACAAAAGTCAGTTCTTGACGTAGTCAGGAAGCCAGGGTTGTGTGACATACCACAGTGCAAGGGTTCACCAGCTCTCATCTACAAAATCCTGAGGCCCTGTTTGCAGAAATTTCTTGCAGAAGCACCACAGCCTCTGAGCAGGCTCACACCATCACTAATCCTTCACCAAGCTTCTGCTTTGTCGCTTGCTTATTTGAATCCGAAAAAGACATTCCTTCCCTCTGGAGAATTGGTCTGCTGTGCAGATTCCATTAGAAGAAGGAACTTTGCTGCCACCTGCTGCAAAATACTTTTGCAGGTCTGTGTAAATGGTACCTCTCAGATGTGCACCCAACATCTGCTTTGGCCTGGAAGTGCCCAGTGGATTCCCAACAAGGGAATCTCAGGACAGCTTCCTGAGAACTGGTGTTGATAATAAGACTTATTTCAGAAGACACCAAGAGTGCACTTATGTGGCCTTGCTTGGAGTCCTATATTCATTGGCAGACTCCTTGGGCTGCTTGATCAGAGGGAAGCTCAGATATTAAGAGAGCAAGTAAAGACTCTCTGGGCTTCCTGAAAGTCCATTTCCTTCACCAGATTAGGGCCATTTTCCTTCATTATTTGTTCAGATAAGTTTTCAATTTCTTGCTCTTCCTCTTCTCCTTCTGGCACCCCTATGGTTTGGATGTTGGAACATTTAAAGTTGTCCCAGAAGTTCCTAAGCCTCTCTTCATTTTTTTAAATTCTTGTTTCTTCATTCTGTTCTGGTTGAATGTTTGTTTCTTCCTTTTGTTCCAAATCATTGATTTGAACCTCAGTTTCCTTCACTTTACTGTTGATTACCTGTATATTTTGCTTTATTTCACTTTGTGTAACCTTTGTTTCTTCCTTCATTTTGTGACTGAGCTCAGTGAGTTCTGTGAGCATCCTGATTACCACTGTTTCGAACTCTGCATTTGATAGGTTGTCTGTCTGTCTGTCTCTTCACTGCTTAGTTCTTTTTCTGAAGTTTTGCTCTGTTCTTTCATTTGGGCCATATTTCTTTGTCTCGAAGCTCAGAGAGTCCCAAAGAAGTTGGACCCAAGGAGGAACACACCAAGACATAGTAATTAAGTTACCCATGATTAAAGATGAGAGAATCTTAAAAACAGCAAGAGAAAAGGAGAGAGTTACCTACAAAGGAGTTCCCATAAGACTGTCAGCTGATTTCTCAAAAGAAACCTTATAGGCAAGAAGGGGCTGGAAAGAAGTATTCCAAGTCATGAAAGGCAAGGACCTACATCTAAGATTACTCTATCCAGCAAAGCTTTCATTTAGAACGGAAGGACAGACACAGTACCTCCCAGATAAGGTAAAGTTCAAGGAGTTCATTGTCACCAAGCCCTTATGATATGAAATGTTAAAGGGACTTATTTAAGAAATAGAAGAAGATCAAAAACTGTGAACAGTAAAATGACAAGAAACTCACAACTATCAGCAACAAACCTAAAAAACAAAAACTAAGCAAACAACTAGAACAGGAACAGAATCAGAGAAGTGGAGATCCCATGGAAAGTTATTAGTGGGGAGGTGGACAGGGGAAAATGAGAGAAAAGGTACAGGGAATAAGAAGCATAATTGGTAGGTACAAAATAAAATAGATAGGGGGAAGTTAAGAATATTATGGGGAATGGAGAATCCAAAAAACTTAAATGGACAGCCCATGGACATGAAGTAAGTGGGGAGTGCAGGGAGGAAGAGGATAAAGGGAAGAGAAAATAGGAATAACTATAATAGCAAAATCAATGAAATTTATTTTTAAAAAGCCAATGAAGAAGCTATACACGAAGAAAATAACCTCCCCCCACCGCACCAAGACTAAAGTAAATTGTTCTAGAATTTACATTAAAATCCTTCCACCATTTTTACCTAAAATTAAACTGCTTACTACAATTTTCCTTGTTTCAGGATTCATCACCCATTGATTGAATTCCATTGGCTTTGAAGATCCCTGTGTCCCACCCCTCCTTCAAGAATTCCCTAAGTTTTTTATTACTTTATGGCTGGTGGTACTCGAGTGTCTGATCTTGGAAGTACATGTAGAAGCTGAGAGAGTGACCCAAAAGTGACATCTAGTAAAACAATGACATAATGATTCCCAGTGCATATTCTGATTATTTGAGTCATGTACATCTCACCAACTTTCCAACCAACTAAAATACAGCCCTTAGCTTGTTTTTCTGTTTTTTTTTTTTGTTTGTTTGTTTGTTTTTACTTAAAGACTATAGATGCCTGCGCTGTGCTGTGCTGCCTGGCCTGTCTCAAGTGCTGCCACCAGGTTCCTGCCCTTGGCCTCACACCTTTGTTCCTGACCCTAAGTTGAAGTTCTTAGAAAGCAGCATCCTTTCTATGAGCCCAGGGGTTGGCAAATGTTTCCATAAAGAACCTGATAAATATTGTGAGCTTTGTAGGCCACGCAGTCTCTGTCACAGCTACTCGATGCTGCCACTGTGGTGTGGAAGCAGATACAGCAGGTGGGAGTAATGGGGATAGCCTGTTCCAATAACAGTTCAGTTATCAAATGGGCTGCAGTCTAGGTTTGGCCCTCGGGCTGTGTGTTGTGTGCTGGCGCCCAACCTTTTCTGTTCCCTCACCCATCATGCTCCTTTTTTCCCCCAAATCCTTCTATATTTCTGCTTCATACCAAGGGTGCTCACATACATATGTGTCCTGAACCATGTCTTTCAATAAATATATACATTTTTTCTTGTAAAGTATGGGAAAAACATCAACAGGTGTTGAACATTTGCTGTGAATTAGGTTTCAGGGTGAACCAAAATACATTTTGGTTCTCTGTCTTCTTAATCTACTTAAGAAATTATGTAAGCATATCACATGGTAATACTTAATAGTCACTCAAAAGGAAATGTGATGAGTGGAAAATCACTAAACGGGACATACAAGTAGTGTGTGTGGATGTTAATGGTAGCGCTGATGCAGCGCATGAAAGCGCTGAGGTGCATCAGAGCTGGGTTGCACCGCAGCTGCATGAAGTGAGTGATGGAGAGGATCCTCGCTGAACTGGGCTGGAAACACTAGGTTCCTTCACACCCAGCAGTTTCCATCCCACTGAGAAGCAGAGGGGTGTTTGTTAAGAGGTCCCTCTGCTCTAAAATTCATGTTCTGCAAGGGTTAGTCTGAGCTATCCCAGATCGTTCTTTATATTTTGCAGTGCTGAGAGAAAAACAAATATTCTTTTTCATGTTATGTGCATACAAATATATTGAGCATGTACAGATGTTGTTCTAGTAGGGATGTCAAACTCATTTTCGCCAGGGGCCACATCAGCCCTCACAGTTGCCTTCAAAGGGCCAAATGTAATTTTAGGACTGTGTAAGTGTAAGTACTCCTTAATAGTTAAGCAAGAGCTTGGAGCTGCCGCCAGGTAGAAACAAGGTGCTGGGCTGGATAAAACAAGGTAGAGAGTCCGGTTCAGCCCATGGGCCTTGTGTTTGCCACCTGTGTGTGTGTGTAGTAGTGGACCACTGGACACAGTCCCTGCTATGTTCAACACAGAAATTATTCCCATTTAAAGGGGAGCCTTGGAGAGCGGAGTGACTCACTGTGGTCACAAAGTTGGACGGTGGCAGGTTCCAGTGCAGACCGCTGCACTCCCAGGCAGTCATTTTCACAGCCACTCTGTTTCTCCCAACTCTCACCCCAGGGACCCGCAAGATGGAATACAAGAGCAGCAGCTGGCATGAGACCTGCTTCATCTGCCATCGTTGTCAGCAGCCAATTGGCACCAAGAGCTTTATCCCCAAGGATGAGCAGAATTTCTGTGTGCCCTGCTATGAGAAACAGTATGCCTTGCAATGTGTTCAGTGCAAAAAGGTACCTAATCCTCCTCTGGACTTTGCACAATCGAGTCAGCTTGGCTCTGCGGCCCGTCCGCTTGCCCCTTCTGAAAGAGATCACAGCTGCCACAGCTGCGACTCCTGAACCGCATGAAAGTTATGCCTCTTCCACTCTGTGTTCCACACTTCTAATGTACTTCTGTACATTTTGTCCATTGGACCTGTATTCTAGTCTTTTCAGCACTAGAACTTTTATCTCAGATCACAAGCACTATTGTGATCTGAGATAAAAGTTCTTTATCCCTTCCTTCTTCTGGAACATTTCCAGATATTTGCTCAGTGATGAGTTGATATTAAAGAGAAAGAGAACTTACTATGCCAAAGCTGCCTTTGTTATACTGCTCTCCTTGAAGATACTAGAAGCCAGTTGCTAAACTTAGTGAGAAGGAGGGCGGGAGCATGATGTGGGTGGGGCACATCACTAATCACACTTACCCAGCCAGTCTTGTGCTGTGTCTGTCACAGCTCTGTTAGGTTAGAGGAAGCAAAGGAACCCTGCCCCTGTAGAAAGCCATCTCTCTCCAGCTGACCCTATCATGGCAACATCTGTGCCCTTCAGGCTCTAGCTGAGCTTGCCACAGTGTGTCCTCTTACACGCACAGGTCACAGCACTCCTGAGCTGTTCACTCCCATGGCTAACAGTGCCAGTTGTAGAACTTTGTGCAACTTGTTTGGCTCCCGCCCCTTCTGTTGACTGTGCTGCTCTTCCCGTCTCTCCAGCTAGCGTCCTGCCTCGCCTTCAGTCTGTGGGAGGGCAGCCCTACTGCTAGGCTTTGTCCTGGGCCCTGCCCTGCACTGTCCCCTGTCCCGGGTGAGCCTTGGCTAGGATGCCCTGCCTGTCTGCACCTTTTCAAAGGGAAGAGGGTTGCTAATTCAGCCTTTCGTTTCCTTCTCTCATTTCCGTTTTTAAAAGGATTTTTAAAAAGATGTTATTTCTAGAGAGAGAAGTGAGGAAGAGAGGGAGAGAAACTGACGTGTGAGAGAAACATCAGTCAGTTGCCTCACACCCACGTCCCAACCCAGGACAGGCCCGCAAACCCAGGGATGTGCCCTGACAGGAAATCAAACTGGAGACCTTACAGTTTGTAAGATGATGCTCAGCCAACTGAGCCACACCGGTCAGGACACTCATTTCCATTTTTCTTTACTAATATTTTGAATTCAATTTCTCTGTATTCTTTTGTCATGATCATGCTATTTATATAGTAAGTATTCCTTTGACTTTAGATGGAATCTCATTCCTGTGTTTGTATTAGGAATCCTCTTGTCTGCTCAGTCCTTTTTGGTTTTGTTTTTCTTATTAGACCCAAGGAAAGTTCATTTTAGTTGCTCTCCTTCCTCTGCGTTTCCCCCTACCTTACTGTGCTATTTAGTTGAGGAAATAAAGGCACATCACCTTCTGGGCTTCATGCTTGTGTGTGCATGTGGTACTCGGTACACACACCAGCATTCATACCAGAAGCAGCCATTCCTCTTACTGTCTGATGGTGAAGAAGACGGACAGAGTCTGGCTAGATATGCACTCTAATGCCAGACATTCAAGTAGTGTTGACAAGTATGCTTTGGAAAAGAACAGTTGTACCAGAATGTACACCGGGAGCACCTGAAGTAATCTGAGGAGTGAGGGGCCAGGGTCGTGTTTAGGGAATATTCTCTAAGAAACCACCACCTGTGCCAAGACATCTGAGTTAGCTGAGTGATGTGAGGGGGACTGGGGACATGGAATCTGGATGGAGGGAGGGCAAGGGAGTGTACTGCAGATTAAGTAAACATAAATATATGCCTTCTGTCTTCATCTATTTTCCAATGAGTATGAATGCAACAGTATAAAAAGGAAAATAGAGCAAATTGAGGTATCGGTGACCAGTTTTGGTATATCAGGCTTCTGGCAAAAGTTCTAGGCTGTAAGACAGAACGAGAAGGCAGGCTGTGGGCTTGTTTTCTTCCCAGCCTTCCAAGATGCCTGTCCTTCTCTACAGCATCAGCAGGCCCAATCCTAAGGTGTCTTTTAACCTTGTCCACGAATAATAAATAGACCACGTTACACAGGGATCTTTACAGATGACAAGGCCACAGGCCCAGGGCTGTCCAGGAGCAGCGTTAGGATTCAAATCCGTTTCCTTGATGCAGGCTGTGTGGTCTTTACCCTCATGACATCGTCTCCTCCCCAGCGAGAAAGCAGTGCTGCCCATGACACTGTGCCTTTGAGTCCCAGCATTCCTCTGAGGGGCCAAGGGTAATGTCCTAGTCCCTGTATTGCAAGCAGGAACCCCAGGGTCTGCAGCAGTGGAAGGGGCAATAGAGGGGTGATTATGAAGTCTGTGAAGCAGTTTCTTGGTGACTTTTAACCAGAGCTGGATGTTTTCTGGATGAGGATCTTGCATCACTGATGGCAATAGTGGAGGCTAAGGAAGAGTGCTAAGAACAGAGGCCACTCTGCCTTGGGAAACTGACCTTTGCCTTCTTGCCCCCTCCAGCCCATCACCACTGGAGGGGTCACCTACCGGGAGCAGCCCTGGCACAAGGAGTGCTTTGTGTGCACAGCCTGCAGGAAACCACTGTCTGGGCAGCGCTTCACATCCCGGGATGAGTTTGCCTACTGCCTGAACTGCTTCTGCGACCTTTATGCCAAGAAGTGTGCTGGGTGCACCAACCCCATCAGCGGTGAGTGTCTCCAGGAGTCCCTGCTCGGGTTCATAACCCTCCACTCTCCATCACAGCCATTTGAAGGTTGCACAGGCACACCTTGGAGATACTGTGGGTTCAGTTCCAGACACCCTGTAATAAAGTGAGTTGTATTCTTTGTTGGTGGAGGGTCTTGCCTCCAATTTGTCAAAGTCCAACATCTGTGAAGTGCAATAAAGGGAATTACAATAAAATGAGGTCTGCCTGTGTACCTAGATTTTCTAGGTCTCAAAGGTTCTGAGCTGACTATTTTTCTTCCTGCTTTCTTCTCCTTGTTACACTGGACAATTCAATAGATAATGGCTTCCCCCCTAACTCACCCGATCACTGAAAACTCTATGAATGGCCCATTCTTAAGAGGTTTATTATTCTGCTTTTGGTTGTATTATCTCCAGAACTGCAATCTGTGAGTATATAACAACCATATAAGCACAATGAAACTGGAGTTTACAGGGTTAGCAGCTGTACTGGGTTCTTGAAGGTGCTCTAAGCATCTTGAAGAGACTTTTCTGCCACAAGGCCATGGCCGCCTGAGGGCAGAAGGCAACATCCTAAGTAGTTCTTTCATATCCCCCAAAGGGCTGGGCAAAGTGAGAGCCCCAAATTTGGTTGGCTGGCAGACTGGGCATTAGACTAAACTATGAAATATGCTGAGAAATTCAGTATGGGGAACAGATGGCTGGTCAGACTACAGTCTTCTACATGTGCCTTACATATTGCCACACAAACTGGTGACGAGTGTGGGAGGGAAGAGTGAGAAACTTTGCTCTGTGACATTCAGCTGATCCCTGCCCAGAGGAGATGGCAGATACATGCAATATGAACACAGGGCCTGGCTAAGTAGTGTTCCTGTGTGGCTTCACATTTCATACTCTCTGTACTTGTTTGACTTTCTGTTCCCTTACTTAGGTCGAGAACTGAGTTCACCAAACACAGCTAATTCACCTCATATAGAAAGTCCCAGGTCACTAGAGTAATTCTCATCTCATATGTATTCCAGAGCTCATATATCCATTGAAATGATAAAGAAAATAAGCATAGCATTTAAATTATTCTATATTAAGACACCCAATTACAGTAATTTATACACCAGATTTCCCTTGGCAGCATTTGGAGGGAAAAATGAAGTCTATTGCTCTCATGTATTAATCCTTAATGCTGTTTTGAAGTAACTTCTGTAGAAGTAAATGTTATGAAATTAAGGTTTATAGTGCAATATAATCTACATCAAAGCATTTTTAAATGTAAAATATCAGGTATGTATGTTAATTGTGGTTATTACAATTGTAGCACTGGAAAAAAAAAGCACTAGAAAAACAGAATGAAATCTTTACTCCGAAAGAGGAGAGTTGTCTGAAATACAGAGACTAATGCTCAAGGAGACTTACTGAGGAATTTTGAAATTGCAGCTAAAATGTACTTTCAGCTAGACTCCCAAACAAATGTGCAAGATTGTGAGTCTAGATTAAATTTCTAATAGATCCTTACTTAGTGCTTTTTTCCTTTAACAAAATTTAAATGATTGTAAATAAATTTGATGTTTTCCATTTTTTTCTGTGCAGTGATGCTTAATTCAGTCAATCATTATTCAGAGTTTGCATTTGCAAATCTACCTACTCATCAACATGTATTTGTGACTCCAATATCAAAACCTGTGGCACTTTCATGCTCATTCGCAGACATGCACAAGTAATGGTAAAAATTGGAGTCATCTGATGCAAACATTTCCCAGTCAAGGTGCAACGAGGTGACACTCTACCTTCTTGTTTCAACTCATGTTGGAAACAAGGGTCCTTTTTATGGTCTGCTTAGTGCCATGTTTTTTGCATTTTTTGGTGCTTTTTGTTGGCATGTTCATTGCTTAAAATGGCCCCTCAGGATAGTGCTGAAGTGCTGTATTTCCTGAGCCCAGGAAGGCTGTGAGGTGCCTTGTGTGGTAAATAAGCTTCCTTCAGGCTTGAGTAACAGTGCTGTTGGCCATAAGTTCAATGTTAATGAGTCAACAATATACGCTAACTATGAGTCTTTAAACAGAAATAGACATAAAGCAAGGCTAAGTACTGATGATGGAAATGTTGTGACCAGAGGCTCTTAGGAACCTCACCCTGTATTTCTCATAGGAGCAGGAGTTCAGTATATGCTAAGCCATTGTTCACAATGACTTTATAGAACAGACCTATCTCAAATAATGAGAATTTACTGTACATACATCTTGCCCTTTGCAGGACTTGTTCCCCTGGGCCTGTGTTTAGATCTCATATCTATCACTTGCCCCCTTTGCTGTCACTTCAAGAAAACAGTGGGCCTTCTAAAAGGAGGCTTGGAACCTGGGACAGCTGCCCAGCACAGCTCCCATCGCTAACATCCTTTCCATCATTTCCCTCCCAATGTTTACAGTGGAGCAGGATTTATCAGAGAAAGGAGAAAGAAGAAACATGGAACAGTGGAAATGCTGGCAGACTTGCATTCAAGTGCCAGCCCTGTCACTATCTAGCTGAGGGAGGATAAGCTCTAAGGCTTCAGGTCTCTCCCACGTAAAAAGATAGAATGCCTAATGTCAGTCTCGCCAAACTAACTGATGAATTACAGACTTCTCATGCTAGTCTGAGACCTCAAACTATTACTGAGACCTCAAAGGCAGAAGTCAGTGGTTGTTTTTAAAATTGTAGGTTGAACCATTACTTCTGGAAAGAATTCTTTGTAATTGGAGTTCATGATCTAAATTTCATCAAAATCTATCCCACCTCAAGATAAACCTGAATTTGACTTCACTTTATTTCAGAGGGCTCAGTGGCAGTATGAACCACAACTATATTGTAATAAGCAGCCAGTGTACCCTAAACATTTGAAAGTAGTAGCCATGAAACGAGTCAAGCACCCAAACTGAAATATGTCCCTAATTTTTTTAACGTTTAAGATAGTTGTCTCTGCAGCCCACACCTTCATAAGCTGCCCTTGCCTCTTAGCAGCTCCACCTCTACCAGTCTCACTAGACCTGACTCTTACCCAGCTCCGACCACCTAACTTCATGCTTCTGTAGCTACTCTCATGATAGCCCCTCTGCAAGAAAATCCATCCCTGCTTCCACACCCACGTTTCTTTTGTGAGGTCTTTCCTGAACATTACAGAAAAAAAACAGCGTTTTCCTCTTCAACCTCCCTTTTAACACTTCATTAAGTCACAAAACAGTGCCAACATGAGGCATTGTTGGGAATGGGAAAAAATAAACACTCACAATGGGCTCTTTATAATTATGGTATTACCATATAGTTCTGGAGCCAGTTTATAGCTCTGTCTCTTCTGATGTTTCTGAGCTCCTCAAGGCTGTGTATAGTCAGATTTTTACATGGATCCCAGCACCCAGAAATCCAAGTTTGAAAGGGGTCAAACCGGTATTCCTTTTTCAGTCCCCGTGCTAAGTCTAACTAGCAATGCTCCCCCTTCCTCTCTTCACTTGTTGTTATTTTGTCTCTGTTACTAGGACTTGGCGGCACAAAGTACATCTCCTTTGAGGAACGGCAGTGGCATAACGACTGCTTTAACTGTAAGAAGTGCTCCCTCTCACTGGTGGGCCGAGGCTTCCTCACGGAAAGGGATGACATCCTGTGCCCTGACTGCGGGAAAGACATCTGAGGTCAACACAAATTACTGCTTGCAACACACAGATTTATGTATTTCCTTTCTCAACCAGGCAACATTGTGTTCTGGTTCCCACCAGCCACACCAGGACTCTCCTCTTGTGCTTCTCAATGATACTCACGTTTGTTAAAATCCTTTGTATTAGTAGTTCAGTCCCAGGGAAGGAGAAAACCCTTATGGAAACATTAGGTAGGAAGATGGTTTTGAATTTTTATAATCAGGCAAAATCCAAGTACAAAATCCTTTGGAATATCTTTATAAATGTATCTTTTTTTCACTGTGTATTTAAGTTTTAAGTGCATTAACATGTCACAAACTTGAAAGTTTTCCAAACCACGTTAAGGTAATGAAGAACTGGTATTTATGACCATCTAACATCCTGTTGTGTAAGGCCTGCAGCAAGATTATATGGCTAATAATAAAATTATCCAGGCACAGCATGTGAAGTAATGATTAAACATTAAGGTGCTACATATAAACACTTTATTGCACGTTCTGATTACTGTCCGACATGCTATTCTGGTGGGCTGGGTCAGTGTTAACTAAAATTGCATCACGCCTTTTATTTAAAAGCCTTCGGTCAGCCCTATGATGTCTTCCTTGCTATCTTCTCTTTGTTCTCCTCTCACAAACTCTCTCTCTCTCAGAATTAAACAGTCTGCACTTGATTCATTTGCAGAAGCTCCAGTATATGAGATGGTGACAAGGAAAGCAATGGTGGGGTCACCAGACAGAGCTCAGAGCTTTCCCACAGTCATGGATCTCGCACTGGCCTGCCTCCTCTTCCATAAAGTGCAGGACTGCAAAAGGACACAAGCTCCTTGAGGCCAGAGGTGACATCTTGTTCATCAGTATATTCTCAACACCTAAGCAACTTAGAGCATACTGGAAGCCTTTCAGTAAGTGTTTCTGAAAAGAAAGCAAAAAAGAGAAAAAGAGACAGAATAACTGCTATAAAGAAAACACTGAGCTCCTAGTTTGGCAGAAGTCTGTAAAATCATCTTTGAAAGCAGACTATACAATTGCAAGCACTGAGCCAAGTTATGAGATAAGGCATTGCATGTTTCTCTTTTTGGAATAGTAACAATATTAACCTTTGGTCCTTAGTTTTCTAAGATAATACAGTATTATAAAATGATATGCTATGCAACAGAAAGACCTGGTGGAAATCAAGTCCCATCCACACTGATCAGAGACACCTCAAGTTTCTTAAGCTGAGTGCTGTCACCGTGAGAAATGTTTGATCAGGCCTGAGACAGGCCTTCCAGAGTTACAGTTAGCTTGAGGCTTTGCCTTTTTTAGCCGTGTTGCCATCTTCTACTTCATAATACCAAAGTAAAAGCATTCTTGCATATGTGCTTTTCAAAATACAAATGGCCTAATTCCAAAAAGAAATGAAATGAAAACTTCCCAAATTTCATCATGGAACATCTTACTTGTTCCTTGTTAAAACCAGATACACTAACCAGAGGTGCCAAACACAAGGCCCACGGGCCAAATCGGCCCTCCACCTTGTTTTATTTGACCCGGCACCTTGTTTCTACCTGGTGGCAGTGCCGAACTCTCGCTTAACTTATAAGGAATAGTTACATTTATATAGTCCTAAAATTACATTCTGCCCTTTGAAGGCAACCGTGAGGCTGATGTGGCCCCCAGTGAAGTGAGTCTGACACCCTGCACTAGATGAACCCAACTTTCAATTACCCAACTTGTCAAAAAGAATTGAGTTGGTGGCAAGTAATTAAGAGGCGGCTGGTAGCTCCATGATATTAGTAGTAAAAAGCTAAATGGCAGACTAGTCAGAAGTTTAACAGAGAAAAAAACAGGGAAGGAAGAGCTAACAAGAGCCCTCATGGGATCCCACTTATCCCTGGGGCATGCAGAAGACTACAGGCATGGGCTGGGTTGCACCCACTCGTGGAGCAGACTTCAGCGCATCCTCCAAGCCATAAGATCACTGGCACAGATCAGAAGTCTTATTAGCTCAAAGTGCTTAAGCACAACCTCTGACCTGGCTGAACATATATTATGAACATGTTCAAAGATGTAAAGGAAACCATGTTTAAAGAATGAAAGGAACATATAATAAGAAAAATCAGTGAACCTACAGGTAGATCAGTAGAGATCATAAAATCTGAAAAACAAAAACAGATTTAGAAATGATCAGAGCCTCAAAGAAATGAGCCACCATTAAATGTACCAACATATGCAAAATGGAATACCAGAAGTGAGAAAATGGACAGAACAAATGTTTTAAGAATTAATGGCTGAAAAGTTGCCTAAACTTGATGAAAAACATTATCCAAGCAACTTGACAAACTCAAACAAGGAAATATGCAGATTTCTGCACCCAGACACATCAAAATGCTGAAAGGCCAAAAATAAAGGCAAAATTCCTGAAAGTAATGAACTGAACTGAGCTTGGCGCCCCCACACCCACCTCAGGGAGGTCTGGACGTAGACACACAAAGCCTGCCTGAGCCTCCATCCCAGCTCCACCCATGCCTCTACCAGCTGGGAATCATGATATTAAACAGATGCTCTGGCTATAAATAATGCAGTTCTATGATAAGCCATTTTATGAACAAGGACTTTTATTAAACTGTGAAATAAAACATAGAAAGTGCATAAAACATGTTAGCAGGTAAAACTACTATGGAGAAGGAAGTCCTAATTCTGGTCGCTCTTCTGCATGGGGATAGGAGGGAACTGTCTGGAATGCTGGGCATGCTCTATACCAGGGTGGCCAACTGGCTCTTGAGCTAAATCCTGCCCACTGCCTGCTTTCCTTTAGACAGTTGTATTGGAAAACAGCCACGCCCATTCATCTACAAAGTTTGCCAGTCTTGCTCTGTATTACGATCTGGGTAGTGATGACAACACACACATTCACGTGCGTATGTATGTAAATTCACTGAGTTGTATATTTTAAACTCGACAGTATTTTATGTCAATAAAACTTTTACACTTTTTATGGTTTCCTATACTGGACAGTTAATGTAAAGCTGGTCTTTTTTTCCCTTAAACATGGCAAACAAACTTGCTTGATCTTTACTTGATTATTGATACATGAAAGCTTTGGGGGTCAGTCTCTCCCCACTGATGTTTCTGCGACATGTCATACTTGGAACATTGCTTCCTGTGTGCCTGGGTAATTCTGACTTGTGCTAGTCACTGCCTTTGTAAAGTTATCAGTGGGCATTTCCCAAGGCTTCAGAGCAGTGTCTTCCTGCAGAGAGGAGTTCCATTGCCTCTGCCATGGGCCTGGAGCACCGCCAGGCTCACTACTTCCAAGTCACCTCCTGGGTTTTACACGCATCCTGGCGGGGTGTAAAACCTGTATGATGGCCTGCTTGACTGCTTCGGGCCTCCACCCCACTTTGTCCCTTCTTCCCCTTTCCTGTTCTTCCTTTATATTTTCCTGTTTTCTTTTCTTTTGCTCTTCCCTCCACTTAGCAAGGCAGGTTTACTTCCAATTCACCTTCTTCATGTGAGACAGGTACTCTTTGGAATCATGGCTATTAGGTTTCCAATCTTGTGGGTTGTGGGGCTTAGTCTTTTTTTTCTCTTTCACAACACATTGTGTTCAACAACACATCCAACATGGCCTACTGTACTCAGTTCTTGTGGTCTCTAGATTTTTGTCTGCCAACTCTTCAGTGCTTTTATCTTTTTTTATAGTGGGGTGTGTTTTATTGATGTATGTTTTAAGAGCACAGAGGAAAGGTATCTATAGTAGAGAACACTTCCAGGATAGGGTGATAGAAAGGAGTTGAGGGGCATTCTACAAAAAACCTAACCAATATGCTCCAAAACTGTCAAGATTATAAGAAATTTAAGAAGAATCTGAGAAAATTTCATAGCCCAAATGAGTCTACTGAATTACTATGAAGACAAGGTAAGGTGGTATTCTGGGACAAAAAAAGGACCTTAGGTAAAAACTAAGAAAATCTGAATAAAGTTATAAACTTTCCATAACAATAACATATCAGTACTGATTCATTTCAACAAAGGTATCATATTAATATAAATTAGTAATAGGGGAAACTGGGTATACAGTATAAGGAAACTCTTGACACCATCTTGGTTGTATTTCTACAAACCTAAATATAAGGTTTATATTTTAAAAGTTTATTTTTGATAATTATGTAGCAGGACAAAATAAATAGAATGCTTAACTCGATTTGGTATTTTTATATGTATAAAACTATCTTTCATCATAACTTATATTTTCCAGTCTCCTAAGGTATAATTATTAAAGAAATATAATTTATCATGGAAAAAATAAAATGAAAAATATTTTAGTTCAAACTATTTATCCAAAGGCTAAAAAACAAGACACCTTGTTAATTTTACTAGAGATAAAAAAATGTTTAGTGCTATTACACAATTAACTAGTCACTTCTATCTTCTGATTCAACTGAATGCTTCATTAAATCTGAATACTGCTGATAGCTTCTCATTTCTCTTGGAACCCAAAACAAAGTCCCTAACATGCCTACCTAAGATTTTCCATAATCGGCTTCTGCCTACCTCTGGCTTTATTTTATACTATTCTCCCCACCTAGTTTTACTGTTTTGAGTCCCACTAAGTCTTTTTATTCTAAAAACCTATTAAAAGAGGGCTTTTGCTTCACTGTTGAGTCTGATGTGTTATCAAGTACTGGGTAGCAAATCATTCCCAACACTTAGTAGCTTAATACAACCCCTATTCTGTTCACAATGATTCTGTGGGTCAGCCACCTAGGCTGGTCTGCCCTGGACTTGCATGCAGTTGGTCACCTACAGCTAGACTGGGGTGGATGTTGTCAGCTGGGACATATTTTTCTAGCAAGCTTTTGTCTTCTCATGGCTGCAGCAGGTGTCCAAGAGTGACAGCAATCTACCACATGTAGCATCACAATCTACCACATGTAGGATGCTTTTCCTAAAAGCTTTCCACAGCTGTTGCTCCTTAAAATTTTCAAAGAAGCCTTCCCCAACCATTATATTTAAAGTAGTTTCTCACTCTACCTTCCCCATCCCTATTCCATGATTAGGCTTGATTTTCTTTGTCTCATTATAATCATCCATTATTCATTGTTCACTTGCTTGTCTTCTCTTTAGGAGCAGGAACTTAATTCACACCTTCATTTTTTCCTACCACAATATAGAAGACAATCAAGTATTGTAACAACTGACAGAGCAGAGCACTTCAGTTAGTTTAAAAACACTTTAGTAAATACCTAAATGGAAATAAGATTTTTTTTGGTATCTTCTTTCCAGACAAAAAAAAATCAAGGATCTACTTTTTAAGTTGAAGGTAGAGGTTATATGAGGCTTTTCAAAGTTAGTTAGTTAGAGCTTCACTCTCCAACATTAACATACCAGCTTAAAAATTAACTCTTGAAATGGCCCAAACACAAATAAGCCCTCAACTGAATCTCTGGTTTCTCACCAGTTAAGAAAGCTTATGAGGGCTGAGGTTTGGGGACGTGTTTCCACCCCTCCAAACGGAGTGGCAGTCAACATGTTCCCGCAGGGGCGTCCTGAACACCAGGCCACTCTAGCCAAGCTCCCCTCTAAAGCAGGAGCCCAACCAAGGCTGGGTGAACTATTGGAACCACGCCTGAGCACAGTCAGTCCAGGTACAGAAGGTTTTACTATAAAAAACGACACCTTTCAATATAGTTTACTCACATAAAAAGAGATCAAGTCATTAGAGTATTTTTCCACTTTATTTTTTTTTATGAATGACAGACCTACTCAATAATTTTATTCAGTTTATTTAAATAAGGATATGGCTACTTAAAAGGCTTTTTACATACAAAAAAAATGTACATTACAAGGTTAAACTTTCTGTACTGAATTATAAAACCTGCACAAGCATTTAATAAAAGAGCACGCTTAAAAACATTTTGACCATCTTGTAGCCTCTAAAAATCACTGAAGTTGCACAGTAGTGAATAAAAGAAGCTCTTACATACATGTTATTTAATCTACTGGTAGTTTCACTTAATGTAAGTTTTAAAAGTTCACTGCTATTGAATGAGTCTCTCCATCAGTTTTAGTATCGTCTTTGAAACTTAAGTCAACCAAAATATTATTTCAAATAATAATTACAATGCTAAAGAACTTTAATACTAGCAAAAAATATTATGGGCTCATAGTAGTAGTTGGACCAGCTTTCCAAAGTGCCTGGATACCATCTACATTAACAAAGCTATTTTGGAAAACTGCACAGCCTTTACAGCGATTGGGAAACAATTTCATGCCTTGGTGCCGCACAGCTGAGACTCTCCAGAACCGTGCAGCAAGCAGTCTATGATCCCTCCAATGTAAGAGGACTGGGGGTCAGCCTACCTTTACCCCCAGTGAATGAGCAGAACCAATCTATGACTTATAAACCTAAGCTTAAAGCTTAGGATTTATAGGAAGGAGGAAGGAGATGAAGCAAAGCATGTGAAAATATGGGAAAGGGGGACAAGAAAAAGGAAAACAAGGAACTAAGAGGGAAGGGAAGGAAAAAGGCCACCTGCCAATGGCAGGAAGTGATAGAGTGCCTGTAACGGCACCTCAGAAGCCATTCACTAATGAGTGCCATTCACTTTCCTACCCCAGTAATAAGAAAAACAGGGTTTATTAGAATAATGAATCAAGAACAACAGTAGTAACCCATGTTAATAAGTAAAAAGGATTTTGAAGTTCCTAGCCATTCAAATCAAGTCCTTCTCAACTTCAAAGCTCACTAAAGCAACACTTCCAGATACGAGATTCCCAACACTTCTTCCAATCCCCATTATTCAGCAGGCTTCAGTATGTGGAGAAAGACACTGAAGATGAGCTGTATCTCTGCACCTTGAGAAGGCACAGTGTTCTAGGATGTTGGTATATGTAATACATAGTACATTGTTTAGTTCTTTACATTTCAAACTCAAAATAACTCAAGAATATGCTGCTGTATGAGCATTGATTCTGAATGTTCATAATATAAACTTCAATTTGAAGCAACAATGTTACACAGTTCAGCTGTTATCACCAACCTACTCTGTAAGTTAAATACACAAATTAAAAAATAATTCTGAGTAACTAAAAATAAGTTTCTACTGACTTAAAACTGTCAAAGAGCCAATTCTCTCTTAACTAAGAGAAAAGCAGATGAAAGCAAAAGGGACAACTGAATATAAAATATAATTTGTCACTGTACCCTAAAATCTACACTTTTCAAAATTTCCCTTCACATAGTTATATATAGGAATACATCTCTGTCCTTCAACATTACATACATCAGCCCTGCAGATACCTGTATGTTTAACAATTTACTGTAACTTTAGCAATTTATGTAACACTTAGTATGTATCCATTTTGTTTTTGTATGTACAGATTTAGAGTCTAGATAAAGGCAGAATGACTGAAAACTGCAAAGTTAAAATTTTAGTACAGTACTACCTGCAACGCTGAATTATTTTTTTGTAAGGCTATTCAATAGCTGAACTAAAATGCTTGTTTTAACAAATATAAATAGGAATGAGACTGCTCAAAAAGTATTGAAAAGACAAACCCCAATTTGAAGATCAATCATACAAGGGAAAAAGTATTCTTGCACTTGATTAGAAACACGCAGCAGAAAAGTGGGTATTATAACTCACAAATAGAAGGTTTAACCCTATTTCCCCAATGACTTCCACTACACAGTCAGAATAATACCACTTTAACACAACACAAAACCCTACTAGGTATGTCTGAAAGTTGCCCATGTTACATCGGCAAGGACCCCCTGCCAATCGGTACATATACACTTCCCTACTGTCAATGCACTGGCTTCTGAGTTCAGTGCCTTCTCTCCCTCTCCTTGCCTATTCTGGATCACACTGAATTTTCCCCCTTGAACGCCATCCTTCCTGGACTCTCTTACTAGAATTCTACTCCTCTCCTCCTCTTCGCTGAACCCTCTGCCAACAGGTACGACCTCTAGCATGATTGCTTCACCTGAAGATTTCTAAAGCCAGCCTCACTGAGATCCTAGGAGAGAGATGCGTGAGCTCACGGAGTGAGATCAGACTGCTTATGAAGGAGGCAGGGCTGCTACATGACAAGAATGTTCTAAGCATGGACCTAGGGTGACATTGATTAGTCAGCCCATAAGAAATCAATTCTGTCTTGGCTTTAAGGAAAGAAGTAATAGCAAGCACTTAAAGAACAGTAGTTTTATTTGTATATTCTGAGTAGTTTATTGGCAGCACTAGAAATATGCCTTTGTTGGTAAACCTCGAGGATGAATTTGGCAGTACTGACTAAAATTTTGCCATGATAAACTGTTATATTCCTTTGCTTGGGAAAGGAAACAAAAGTTGTTAATTTCTGAAATATCTGAGTCTTTAAAAAAATCTCAAGTTCTCCAAACACTGAAACAGACTAATGAGAACAATTCCTAAAATTCATCAGATGCTTTATACCAGACTTGTAGCTTACTGATTTGACTCAATATGAATGATTTATACTAAATCATTCATTTAAAAAGAAATTCTTTCCTGCCCTGGCTGGTGTGGCTCAGTGGATTGAGTGCTGGCCCATAAACCAAAGGGTTACTGGTTTGACTCCCAGTCAGGACACATACCTGGGTTGTAGGCCAGATCCCCATGTGGGGGCATGGGGGAGACAACCACACACTGATGTTTCTCTCCCTCTCTTTGTCCCTCCATTTCTCTAAAAGTAAATAAATAAAATCTAAAAAAAAAAAAAAAAATTCTTTCCTAATCATGGAACTAAAGGCAAATTTTTTTTTTTTTTTTAAGAAAGAAGGCAGGCAGAAAGAGAGGGAAAGACTATTTTTCTGAACCTAATTTTAAAATTAAGAAAACTTCAAAAAATGAAGATCTCTGCAAATACTGTCAATATATGAGAACTTGTTTGAAAACTGCAGTTACAGTTATATTTACATTTTTGGAAACTTTCCTTCATGGCCATGTAACATGTTGTATCTTCCTTTTTGCTTCTGGGGGCTTCAGGTTATTCTGAAAAGACACAAACAGAAATCAGCTTATATTTACAAAAAGTCAGAGAATAACTGAAGTGAACACTTCAAACCATCATGGTTGAATAATAACATACAAATGGTAGATCTCTGCTGCCATCAGGTGGGAATATTTTAAGACATTAGCTACCATTTTTCTAGCTGTGGCTCTGAAACATTTGCATATCAGAATCACTCGGGGTGCTGATCTTAAATTTTTCTGGAAGCTCCTTCAGGGGAACCCAAGGTACACTCAGAGTTGAGAACCACTTCTTTCTCCCTACCATGTTCTCCCTCAATCTCGCAATCCAAGATCTTAATATGAGAAAAGAGTGCCTTAAAAAAAAGAAAAAAAAGATCTTTGAAGTTCACTCCATATCGTAGTATTTGAGGTGGATTCTTCTTCTCACTCCTATTGACACCCTCCTCCTCTTCCCACAAAGGTGGCTGAAGTAAGTGCAGTGGCAGCACAGTGTCATAAGAAATGCATGTTCTGGGGCCAGAGAGACCTGAATTCTAACTGCAATTAGATTTGTTATTAACCCAGAAACCCTGGACAAGTTTTTTTTAAAATTATCTAAGCTTCTGTTTTCTCATCTGTGAAATGGGATAAACTATACTGTCTACTTCATAGGATTGCTAAAAGAATTTAAAGAATATAAGAACTTAGGGTTGGTCTGATACACAGTAGCTTTCTTTTTTCCAGGATCTGCTATTTTAGAATGTTTGAACTACCCTGAGTTTTGATCCCTTTGACATACAATAGGAAGATGACAAAGCCAAAGTATACACTACAGGAATATGCTATAGATTGAATGTTTGGTCCCCTCAAAAGTACAATGTCGAAACCTAACCCTCAATGTGATATTTTGAGGTGGGACCTTTGGGGTGATTAGGTCCTGTGGGCGAAGCCCTCATGAATGGGATTAGTGCTTTTATAAAACAGCCCCCAGAGAGCTCCCTGGCTCCTTCTGCCAGGTGAGGACACAGTGAGAGACAGCTAAGAACTAGGAAGCAAGTCCTGACCATACATTGAATCTGCCAGTGCTTTGACTTTGGACTTCCCAGGCTCCAGGACTATAGAAAATAAATGTTTGTTGCTAGAGCCATCCAGACAATGGTACTTTTTGTTGTAGAAGTCTGAAAGGACTTAGATAAGAAATAGTTTATAAAACTGCTAGATGTTTATATAATCTCAATTAAATTCTAAATAAACATTTACCTATATCAAATTTGCCAGCATGTAAAATCCAAGCATCCAAATGCTTAAGTATCATAGAACACAACATAGTAGATTCCCCTAAACATCCTCTATACCTTTAAGGGTAGAAATATTTGAGAGGCAGGGGAGGCAAGTGGTAGATCCTAAAGACTCCAGGGTGGTTCTAAGGAAGCGCAAAACAAAGATCAAGCTCTATGATGCCACTTAAATGTGTGCACAAACTTTACTTAACATGCTGAGTCTTGCTAAAGAAAGAGTATGTCTTTTAGTTCCAAGATACTGAAAGGATATAAATAAGAAAAATCTAGTTTGAGTGTCTAAGAGACTTTTCCTCTCTCTACACATTTTAAGCAGGGGAAAAAAAAAAACCCTGGACTTTTAAAAGAGAATTAGTTTATCATCATGGATCTCAGTATTTCAGGGTTCAAACACAGGAGAAATGATATATAAAAATAAGACACACCATGTAAGAGTTAAAGAACAGCTCAGAGATATCACTCCCATCTCTTAGTAGCATGGAAACCACCCCACACTCACCATGGCCTCGGCTTCTTCTTTAGGAGCAGCTCGCTTTAACTTCACAGGAGTAGTCCCCACAGGGGACAGAGGTGGCAACTTCACAGGGCCCAAAGGGCTTTTCCTGTGCGTTAAGTCATGATTCTGTTTAGTGTCATTATTATTGTGTTCCATTTTATTGTTCATAGGCAAATTGGAAGACAAGATTAGGGGTGAGACACTTGAAGAGGAATTTGATAATTTTCGAAAGGCATTACTGGTAAAGCTCGCCTGAGGGGGAGCCTTGAGTCGATCATTATCTCCATTGTCTGTCTTTTTCACTTTTATGCTTGTACTTGTTGAACTTCCATCAAACACAATGAGGGGTCTTTTCTTTGACACATCTACAGCACTACTCCTGAAATCAGAGAGACACATTAGTGAAAAATATCACCTGGAATGGCAAAGCAGTTAGTAGAATATAATGTTGAAACAATGACCAAAAAAACTCATTGATAGAGGAATCTAAATAATAATTTTCTAGTGCTTTATTGATGTGAAATTTAAATATAGCTTTACTGTATGCACAAGAATGTTATTTTTAAAACACCAATCTACCAACTAACCCTAGAATTTAAAACACAATTTCCTAGAAATTAAAATATATATATATATTTTAAAAATCACCATCTTATTAATGAGGTTATTCTTATCATGTATTATTACTTAGAAAGCATAATAAATTACAAAACTATTCCAAGACTGACTGAGACCTTGCTAGCCTGTGATTCCAGAATCAGGCTCTGGAAGCCACCCATGCCCCGCAAGCTGCTCTCCGGCCTCCAGTGTATTCATCGTTCCTCCCAAGTACATAAAGACTTAATGGCACCTGCTGCCATGTACATAAAGACTTAATGGCATCTGCCGCAGTCCATGAAGGCCATGAAGATACAGATTATGACAATTTCTGTTTAACATGTAACCCCCAGAATTTAGTACAAGGCCTGCAGCACTGACAGATAAATATTAAAAAACTATACTAAGACTACCACAGTGGCAGTCTATATACAATGATACAAAACATTCTATTTTATTCAGTAAGACCTCTGAAACCAAAACATTTTCCTAAAAAAAAACCACAAAAAACCTCAATTGAGGTGACACTGTTTAACAAGGTCACATAGATTTTAAGTGTATATCACAATGACACCTGGTCTGTGTACTCCCACCACCCAAAGTCAAACTATCCTTCATCACCATATATTTGGCCCCCTACCCACTTCTCTCAGGTAGTCACCATTCTGTTTGTCTGTCTGTGTCTCTGAGTTTCAGCTTTATATCCCATATGAGTGAAATCATATAGTTCTTAGCTTTTTCTGACATTTCATTAGAATGATACTCTCAAGGTCCACCCAAGTTGTCACAAATGGCAGTATTTCATCTTTTCTTATGGTTGTGCAGTATTCCTTAGCATATATGTACCACATCTTCTTTATTCAATCCTCTATCAAAGGACACTGTGGTTGTCTCCATGTCTTGGTCACCATGAATAATGCTGCAGTGAACACAGGGGTGTATATATCTTTGTGAATAAATGCTGTCAAGTTTTTCGGGTACACAGCCAGAAGAGGGATTGCTGGGTCATATGGTAACTCTATTTTTAGTATTTCTGAGGAACCTCCATACTGTTTTCCATGGTGGCTGTGCCAGTTTACATTCCCACCAGCAGTGAATGAGGGATCCTTTTTCTTCACAACCTCTTCAACACTTGTTATTACCTGTCTTGTTGATAACAGCCATTCTACCAGGTGTGAGGTGCTAGTTCATGGTTTTGATTTGCATTTCCTTAATGCAAATTAAGTGAAGTTGAGCCTCTTTTCATTTATTTGAGAGTCATTTGTATGTCTTCTAAGGAGAGATGTCTGTTCAGGTCCTCTACTCATTTTTTAATTGGACTGGCATTTTTTAAACTAACATCTGTAAAATTTTTTTTAAATTTTTTTATTGATTATGCTGTTACAGTTGTTCTATTCCCCCCCTTCATTCCCCTCCACCCTACCCCTTGGTCCCCACCATTACCCCCCCTTTAGTTTATGTCCGTGTATCTCAAGTTCTTTAGATTCTATATTTCCGTAAAATTTTAATTTTAAAATTTAGCAAGTCTTCAGGTCTAGCTTCAGAAAATCATTTCTACTCTTAATCATAAAGATAATAAAAGCATTCATTTGTTCATTACTCAATATATCTCAAGTCAAACAAGATTTATGATAAAAACCTTTTAATCAAACATGTAAGCAGAACTCGAGTTCTCCAGCCTTCCTATTCCAAGTGTGGTCCAGAGACCAGCAGCACCAGCATCTTGGGACCTTGTAAAAAATTCAGAATCTGCCTTTTAAGCAGATCCCAGATGACTGGCTAAACTCACCAATTCTTGGGTCACCACTGAAAATCATTTGGTAGAAGACGAAAAGCAAGCTCACTATACATGCACTGCCATTGCAGAAGGGAAACAGAAGGACCGTGAGTAGGATGCATCAGCATGTGAGAGTTCAATCTTAAGATTCAAGAGGCACATTCAATTTGAATAAAGATCTGGTCCTAGCTCTGTGTGACACGTCACAGCATTTCTCCGGAGCTCAGTTCCCTCAGAGATAAAATGAGCAATTCAACAACACCTGATGATCCCTTAATCCTTCCAGCTTTAATGCTCTGATATAAGAAGTGAGTTGTGATTTTTAAGAATAGAGCAAAAGTTCCTTTCCAAAATGACACTGAGAAACCTAATAAAAGGGACTGTCATATAATTTAACAGAATTAAAAGCTCTGCTTAGGACAATGTACCTGAATGTGCAGGTAAAAAAAGAAAATACTTTCATAGTAAGAGTCAACGGAAGTAAATTAATGATATATACAGCACAATCCACAGATTTATGAAATTAATTAACACTGTACCATCATGCAATCATCAAGCTAAAATAATGCTCGATCTGAACTGAATGTGTTCAAAAGTGAGACTGAATATTTATTTACTTTCCAAAATACTCTGAGCATACATGTTGAATTCTTCAATTAATCTACTTCTTGGGGAATAATCTCCCTACCAATCACGAGTTTTCCTCCGTTCTTTGTAACTAGAGATTAAAACCAGGAACCAATTCAGAATTAGCATTCTCCTTCACTCCATCTTCTTCCACTGTCTCTAGCACACTGCCCAGGACAGTACCCTACAGAAGGCTCTAAAAGGAAATTCAGTAATTAATCAACAGCACCACTTGCAATAAAAGAGACCCAGGAAAAGAAATAACTAGCCCACTTAAGGGTCTTTGTATACTTTTTCCTCATTAACCAACCAACTACACTGATCAGTCAAATGTAACTTTAAAAGGGAAATTCATTTGCTTGTTGTTTTATGAACAATTTTCTGAAATTAAAAATTTTTAAATAGTGTCCCTGAAGCTATAAATGAGTGTCTTTATTTTATATTATTCAAAGACTTTAGAGTTTTACTTAACTCCATTTTTTTCCTCACAATTCAGCATATATCGTTAGCTCTACCTGTAAAATACACCCAAACCCCAAGCACTTCTTACCAAATCCACTACTATCTCAGTCAAGGTCACCACCAACTACTGTTTGGATTACTGCAGTCTCCTTTCTAAGTGGTTTCCCTGTTCCGCACCCCCCCACATTAAATCACTTCTCAGCATAGCAGCCAGCATGATGCTGTTAAAATGTACATCAGATGGTGTCATCATTTTGCACAAAATCTTCCAATGTTTACTCAACAGTAAAGCCAAAGTTCTCACGATGACTCACAAAGCTCTACATGATCTGACAATCTCCTTTTACCCTTGATTATTAACCTCTTCCCCCTCCTCTCCCTTTGGGTCTCTCCACTCTAGCCCTGGTGGGCTCTTTGTTGGTGGTGGTATGATGGGCATACTCCTGACCCTAATTCTTGTATTCTGCATGGAATGCTACAATAGCTTGCTCTCTACTTTCTAGGTCTCTCTACTTAAGTGACATTTCTCAGTGAGGTTGCTCCTGGCCACTTTACCTAAAATCGTAATCACTCTCACTGCTTTCTTTTCTCCTTAGCACCTGTCACCATGTAACATACCATATACTTTATTTATCTTTTGTATTATGTTTTTTCCAATTAAAATATGAGCAGGGGATTTTGTTAGTTTTATTCATGGCATACATACAGTGCCTCGTGCTCAATAAATAGTTGTTAAGTAAATGAAATTTTTTTAACCTAAATTTACCTGGGGGAGAAAAATAAAAGCAAAATTATTTCATTATATAAGATAAAAACAAGAATCGCCGATAAGTACCTTTTAGTCTCATTTTTTAGCTCATGTTGTTCTCTTTTCTTTTCCATCATTTTCCCCCATCTGTTCTTTGGCAAATCTCTCTGGGGCAATGGTATTGCATGCTGAACATAAAGATCAGTAAGATTATCTTTGTTTATTCTTATGTCATTTTCAACAGCTATGTTCTTCTGTGGAAAAGGAAACAAAGTAATTTCAAAACAACATCCTTCTTTTAACAACTAACCAAATACCAATGTAACAGGTCAAAACACTACTGCTCTGTTTATAACAAATTATAAAACCACTGTCACAATTAGCACACACTTAAGGTCCTATATAACACTGAAAAGGTAGTAGTATAGATGGATTAGGCTCTGTAAATATTAGGTTCAGCCTCATCATAAAGACAATGGTCAGTGTGACAAGGAGTGCTGTCCACAAGTGTTCAGCCAACATACCAGGAAATAAGAGCATTTCCATTGGCATCATCCTAGTCTATGAAGGGAACTGAAAATAGGTGACTGCCTGGGAAAATTGGACAAAAGAGAACTAACAATGATGATTACAGTCTGTCAAAAAATATTATCAGAGTGTTACTACCATGATCAGATTAGTGGATGGGAGGCCTCACCTTTCATTTCCCGTGTATCTTTAATACTGCTTCTTAAATTGAAGACAAATACCAAGATTTCAAACGGCCCTGCACATGAAAACTGGAGTTGCCTCACAGATGATAGTACTAATAACAGTATATCATTAAAACTTTCTTGGCTTCAGTAGCTTCCAGTCATTGCCTGGCTCTCTCCATCTAAATCAACTAACTCATTCTCCCTCATTTTCCACTGTGTTCTCAACATTACGGAAAACTACAGTATGAGGCAGAAGACTGGCTATGGATACAGAGTTTGGATTTATGAAGGAAAATGAGGATGGATAAAATCATGGGTCCACAACTGCAACTCCCAAAGGCTTGGAAACATTTGTGTTTAGTAGGACTGACAAAACAATCTATGTTCTCTGTTAAACTCCCCTCACTCCTTTTTTTCACTTTCAAAACTTAAAAGCACAAATTTTACAACATTTCTCTCTTATACTAGATGATCCTGTATTATCAATTTTCACCCTGTACTCACTCAGAGATATATGGAAACCCTGGAGGTTCTTAGACCACATTCCCAAAGAATTCATTGGCAGGTTAGTTTGGGAAGCACTGCTCAAGGGCAGAGGTGCTCAAACTGTGGTACCTGAACTAGCAGCAAGAACTTGTTAACAATGCAGATTTTCAGGCCACACCCCAGACCTACTGAATGGTACAGCCTGGGGATGAAGCCCAGCAATATGTGTTTTAAGAAGCCCTGGGTGACTGCCATGTACCTAAAAGGTTTGAGAAACATGAGTGAAAGGTAACTGACATTACTAAAACAATCTACTTAGAAGTGGGGCTTGATAAAATTAGAGTACAGCACTGAAAGGAAAACACAAGAAAACCAAAACGTGCTACATAAAACCCCAAGGAAACGTTCAGTAATTCTCTACCACTTGAAACAAAATTTATCAGTTGTTTTCTTTTCCGTCTATTATCAGAAAACACATTAGGTGAGTAAGTGAAAACGCTACATTGAGAGCCCGGAACGCCGAATTCTCCTCCTGGTTACATCAGTTACCGCATTTATCGATGGTATGACCTTAAATAAGGCACTTCACCTCTCTGGGACTCAGTTTCCTCTTATTTAATCATGATGAAAGTGTGGAAAATGGAGGATTTCTCCGATGCTTTGCAGCCCTGACAGTTCCCAATGACTGCCCTTCATTTCCGTTCTTCTTGGATTCTTCCCCAGTCCCTTTCTTCCTCAGGCCCTTGCTTACATACAGGCTGCAGGGGTCTCCTATATTCCTCTTTCCGAGCCATCTACAACTCAAAAATATAACTCTTAATTCCCAGGAATTCCTGATATGCTAAGGACGTCTCTTTTCCGGATGGGGACGTGGGGGTGAATAGGTCAGTCTGCAAGAAGAGTCGCACAAACCCAGCGGGAGGAGCGTCGACGGCGGGTGTGTCCGCCTCCAAGATATTTGGGGCTGACTCCGACCCAAGCACCTCTTCCAACCAGACCCACCCACCCAGGCGGCCAGACCTGCTCCAGCGTGAGGAGAAGGAACTCCTGGGACAGCAGCTCCGGGTGCAGCAGCAACAGCTCTGAATCCGTGCAGCTGCGGCAGCCCACGTCCCCCGCCATCGTCGTCGCCAGGAGACCCCGGCGGGTACCCACAAAGCTCCGCGAAGGAAGCGTTCCGGAAATGACGTCTGGCCGAGGACTCAAGTGTGTCGTCACTCTAGGTGCGCCGCGCGTGCGTGCCTCATCGGAAAGCGCTTTCGCGGACTAAACCGGCGGCGTTTCGGGTCTGACAGGAAGAGCGGAGAAAGCGTAGTTCACGGGGCTGGCGACGATTGGTCGCGCTTCTTGTGACGTTGAGAAGGGATTCTGAGAACAGTTTCGCGGCAAGAGGCAGGGAATACTGACCCAGTTACTACGATTTGTCGCGTCTGAAACTAGCTACGTTTTCTTTGTTTAACGTGTTCGTTAGCTTCCTAAACCTCCTTTAATTTGCTGTAAGTCCCCGGACCTTAGTTCCGGTCCCTAGCACATTGTACGCACTCAGACATTTGTTACCTGAAACTAATACTTTGAACCTGATCACGTGTGAAAATAAATGCCGAAATGGCGGTGACAAAGTCCATATGTTTGTTAGATATTTACTATGTGCCAGAGCCTGCAGGTTATGTAAATGATCTCATTCCTCGGAACAGCCCAATGAAATACGTAGTTCTAGAATGCGAATCTTTTCAGATGAGGCCACTGAGGCATGTAGCAATTTGAGGACGTAGCAAGACTGACTTTCAAGTATTTTCTTTGCACTTGTTACTACAGTGAAGTAACAATTTTCTTTAAACAAAATCTAATAGATTTGATCTAATTACTGAAAATCTTTTTCTGTTCTTTCATCTTTTGGGAGAAGGTACACATCCCCAAATATTTTGTCTATCTAAAACTTAAATTTGCAGACAACCCTAAAGGCTTGTGATTTGCATCTTCTATCATGTATCATTTCTTTGGAAATTATTGTAGTGGCTTCAAAAATGTGAACATAGGATGACAAAAGGTAAACCTTGAGAGAATTGGAAAATAAATGAGATACTAAATCAAAAAAAACAAAGTTGAAAGGTGTTTTGTAACTTTTCTTAATCATATACATATAGGTTGCTTTATCTAGAAGTTGAATTTGAGAGCAGGGCAGAAACTTAAAAAATTACTCAGTCCTATTATTTCATTTTAGTGCCGAGGAAGCACGTGTGATTAAATGACTTGCCAGACATTCAGAACTGAGCTGAGGCAGGTATTTGGATGTCCTAATTTGGAGTTAAGTGTATTAACTGTGACATTAGCACCGTGGTAATTCCATATCTAAAATCTGATTTTCATGATAATAGTTAAATTAATGTGGCTGGTATTATCCCTATTTCCTTCAATGAAAGGCACATACATTGTTTTAGTGACAAAAGCAGCTACAAGGAGCCTTGGAAGTCAGACCTCAGTTCCGATTTTGTGCTGCTGCACTGAGACCTTGGGTGAGTTACTCAAGTCTCAGCGTCAGCCTTATCAGAGGAAGGCTCTGCTAACACCTTCTGTGAAGAATTTTCAAAGGAGTCAAGATTATATAACATACTTGACACAGAGTAGGTGCTTAATAACTGGCAGTGGTACTGAGAAATACTTCATGTCAACCTGTAACCAAATGCAGCTTCTGATCTCTGCTGCTTTGAAAGCCAATACTTGACAGAGACGGGTGCTTATGTAGAGGAAAGTGGTTTATTTTTAGGTGCTGGCAACCTGGAAGATGGGGAACATTGTCTCAAAGCCCAACTTCATGCCTCTGTGCAGACAGAGATTATTATAAGGAGGAAGAGGAGAAGCAGAACAAAGAGATGGAGAGGGTTGAAAAGTTCTCTGCTTGCAGACCAGTGTGGTCCATTCTGATAAGGTAAGTGATGGTCCGATGTGCATCATCTTGGTTTAGTCATCCTGGCTTCATGGATGAAAGTCAGCAGATCTCCCAGAGCTGAAGTGCTTGAAGTTTGGAATCTGTATCTTTTTAAGTTAGCTCCTAGGAGTCTTATACAAATATGTTATTTATCAACAAGCTGTGTATTAGTGTCAACATTTGCAGAAATGTCAAAAGTGGTGGAGTGGGTTGCAGTTCCCCACTGTTGCAAACCTGTTTTAGCTTCCTCACCTGTGAAATGGAAAACACTACCACCTCATAATTTTGTGAGATGGGAGCTAAAGTATGAACAGTGCCTCCACTGTTGCCTTTACCTGGAGATTTGTTGTAGCCTATTGACTTATTGTTGTCAATAGGCTACTTATTGTAGCCTGTTGACCTATTGACTTATTTGTTGTAGCCTATTGTCGAAGGACAGAAGTGGTAGGATGGTGGTGGAGGTGAGGGCAAAAAAAAAAAACCCACAAAAACAAACTTGAGATTAAGAGTTTGAAAATACAAAGTTTCTTACTGTGGTTTTCTGAACCAGTCCCCTAACCTGAAACCTCAAGCTCTTCATCAGCAAAAATGTTTTGTTACAGATAAGACCTGTGCTTTGTTTTTCTCCTAGAACTTCCCAGCTTAAAAATAAAAGTACTTCCCTGCCTAAAACTAAATTCATTCAGATAATTCTAGGTGTCTCTGAAGCTAAAATATCAGGGTAGAGGGAATGGCATCTGAGGCAGAAAAAATTAATCAGGTTTCAGAAAGGAAGAAGTAGAATGACATTGTAATACCATACCCCAAACCCCTCTCCAAAGGAAGGGGAGACTGGGAATGCCTGCCGCCACTCCATTCTGGATAGAGCCTAGGAGAGTGGAGCTTCAGAGTATTATAGTCTGCTGACTGTTTTAATCAGTGTTTCTGAGGTAGGAACTTAGGGCGGGGGAGAATTTGCATTTCTAACAAATTCTGAGGTGATGTTTCAAATATGTCTAGGCAGCAGGGCCCCTCACAGAGATTACTGCCAGATTGCAGGACAAGGAAGCCACAAACCCTCAAGCCATGCAATCACCATGATTGGAGGAGCAAGACTGAAAACCAACACCAGGGTGTACAAAGAACATCTTAGAACCCTTATGGGAACCAGTGATGCAGAGATCTGTCATCTTTTACGTATCCTCACTTTTGCACTTCAGAAACTCCCTATTCTAGACACAGCCCCAAGGAAGGAGTCAGGCCTCCATTGATAAGATTATTCTTATTGCAGCCAAGTGGGGGCTTAAAATAGAAATAAAGCTCAGTTACAGGAAAAAAATTGTTACACTTTTGAGTTCATAGACTGAAGTTTACTTCTGCTACAGTATTATCTGTATTATATAGTGATCATAAAGTTTTAAGTTGAGTATTATGAGAGTTTTCCCCTCAAAGATCATGGGGTTTTAATCATTAACATTTTTATTTGGTGCTTATTGTTGACAAGAACAAAGCTGAGGGAAACCAACCAACTGCCTTGCCTGATGTCAGGGGCCATACATTTGCTTCTAATCTCCCATCTCATCACTGGTACTCACAGTGAGGGCTTGCACTTATTAGGTACTCAATAAACATTTATTGAATGAATTATAAATGAAATATATACTGAGAACTTTTGAGTGTTGATTTCTCTTGTCTATAGTATAATATTCAAGATGTTTATGTTACAAATATTTTATCATTATTTGTCAAAAATACACCTGAGCATAAATCAAAGAGCTTCGACATGAATGTAACAATTTAAAAAACACTTCACACTTCACGTTTTGGATCTGTGTTTTTAGGTATTTAAAACAACAGTTCTGCTTTGAGTTTTAAATAACTACCTTCAGTACCATAATAATGATTAATTATTATATTTTTTATTATTGTAGTATCTCATTCATTTTACAATCTTCCCATAAAGATTTATTTACATGCTTAAACTGCCTGCTGGCTTTCTTGTAAAGCTCATTCAGGACGCCTGTTTAATGAGCTGCTTCAGTGTCTTACATCTCTGTGTTCTCAGCACCTAGCATAGTGCCTGGTACACAGTGTAAGAACAGTAAGTGTGTGATGAATGAATATCACTAAACCTTTCCAGATCCTCAGGCACTTCCTAACTGACCTCTCCTGTCATCAGACCTCAGGAGCACATTATTTTTTACTTTAGGATATGGTTAGGAGGGTATTTCTTCCACATATCCCGCTAAATCAGTGGTTCTCAAAACTCAGTGAGCATTAGAGTCATCTGGACAGCTTGTAAAAAACATTGTGCTGGGTTCCACCTCTTCTCACCCCCAAGTTTCTGACTTAGTAGGTTTGGATAGTGGCATAGAAATTTGCATTTATAACAACTTCCAAGGCAATTTTGGTACTGCTCATTACTGATCATAGTTTGTAAATCTTTGAAGTAAATTAAGTGGCTCCAGGACGGGCAGTGTGCTCATTTCAGTATACACAGCAGCCTCAGCCATAGCACTTGGCACATAGGAACTGCTCAAGAAATAGTTGGTTTGGATAACAGTTGAAAAGTTTATTTTACTGAATCTAGATTACAAGTACATGAACATGTATATATATTATTAAAAGAGCTAAAGCATATAAAAACTCTAACATGGATTCTAGTAAGGTGTGTTTGCTAAAAAAAAATCATAAATGTAACCTTATTTGCTTAATCTCATATTCTAAACTGATATCCAAGCCAGATGTGTTCTTTTAACAAGAGAGTTTATAGAGTAACCAAATCTTAGCATAAAAGACTCTTTTAAAGATAGCCTAATTTATTAATTTTGAGTATCAGGAATTTTTAATATTGGTTAAGTGCTTCCTTGGTGCAGATAGACACAGCAAAACTTGATAGACACATTCACTTTTAAGAGCTTAAAGCCAGTGAGGAACCTTGAATGCATGTGTGAAGATATGGTTTGAGAGTAGATGGCAGCTATTAAAAGCATTCAGTTGTCTTTATTCAACTCAATCTTAAATAATCTATTAGAACACATCTTTTTCACATTTTATAAAATACTCATAATGTGTGTAGTATGGACCCAAGGGATATTTAATAAATATCAATAAAAAGTTAATTAAACATTCCTTGGAAAAACATGACAACATGACTGATATTTCTGCTCAAGTGTAATCACTTAAAACAACATGAGGAATTTAGAGTTAGCCCTGATGTAGATATTTCCCAAGTTATGGAATAATTATTTACATATAGGTTCCTGTCATATGTTAAATAGACTTCTCAGATAGTTCCAGGAAGAACAAATGTTTCCAGAAGGAATAATGTGCACATGTGGAGATTGCCATTTTAAAAATTCTATGGTAAAGCCTTTCATAAAGGAAATAATTAT